AAGCAGGTTCTACACGGTTAGCACAGAGCCCGAGGCAGGGCTTGAACTCACGAACCGTGAGATCATGACCTGAGCTGTTTTTTCTCCTTTTTCAATTTTACTTGCCCAATAACTATCTTTGGGTCATTTTATTAATTTGATCTAGAGACTATTTACCACTTAATAACTGCACACTTAGGTCTCCCCCCACCCCCGGCCCCACCCCAGCTGAGGAATGTGCTCTTCAAGCATATCTTTGCTAAATGATTCTGTTTAATCGTGTTTCCCTGCAAATGGTTCTAGTTCCTTCCTTAGGAAAAGGATGGCTGTCCATCCTCTGTGTTTACCTTCCCTCATTGTTTTAAATTCTTTACTTCCTCTCTTTGCATTCTCAGAAATGTCTCAGGTTTATTCTCAGTATCACTGGACCCATTTTCTTCTGCTTCAGTTACAGGCTTTATTATATTATTATAATGTTTCTTCTCCTTCAATTACTGGGCTTTTAGTTACCTTGTAATCCTTCCATGCTTCCCTTACATTCTTTTTGAAAACTCAAAGTGTTATCCTTTACTTAGAAACCACATTTCTTGTATCCTGTTGTGAATGTAGGCTCGTTTGTCAAAAATTAGTTATGGAGCCTGGAGGCAATGCTTTTCAAAAGTTACAAAGAGGTGTGTTCCCTTTTCCTTGTTCTGCGATACTATTTTTCAGGCCTCGCTGGCTGTTTTAGTCATCCAGGTCTGGATTTCATGCGCGGACAGAATGGGTAGCTTGCCTGTGTCTTATTTGCCCGCTATCAGAAAGCCTGTTTCTGTACCCAGCCGGAGACACAATATCTCATCGCCCAGTCCTGGGAGACCAGCTCCCGCCTCACCTGGCTCTGAGAAAAGGAGCTGAGGTCTTCTCCTGCCCCCATCCCATCCCAGTTTTCTGATTCTCTAAACCAATGAGGGATAAGAGCTTCACTACAGAGCTTCCCCAAGGCCTTCTCAGCCTCTGCCCCAGCTGTAGGGCATCACCTTTCAGGCCGAGATGCCCACAGCCTTGAGGGGCTGTCAGCTGGCTGCCGAGTGATCAACGAACTGGCAGGCGGTCCCCAGGGGCCTCCCTGAGCCATGTTCATTACCCCTATTGGCCTCAGCCTTGCAAGCCTACATTCTGTACTGATTTTATCAGCACCCCGACAGGGGATTGATCTCTCAAGGGAGGACTCCTATTAATAAAGCTTCCGAGACCGATAGGTAAAACCAGGTGGTGGATTATTAATTTACAAGGAGAAATGACCGATGACAGAACTAGAAATGCGAAGTCCACATCAGCAGTGCCTTTTATTTTTGATAGTAGAGTTACTTACACGGGTGGCTAAACCATAATCCCAATTCCATTTTATTAATTTGCAATGACAAAACACTGCGTTCGAAACCAAAATCCTCACAGCCCAGGTGACGGGCAATGCTTTCCTTAGAGACAGGCTTACATAGAAAGCCAAATAAGCCAAAGATTAATTTTTTTTAATGTTTGAGAGAGAGAGAGTTCGAGGCAGAAGAGGGACAGAGAGAGGGAGACAGCGGATTCAAAGCAGGCTCTCGAGATCATGACCTGAGCTGAAGTCAGACACTTAACCAGCTGAGCCACCCAGGCACCCCAAGCCAAAGATGAATTTTGAGCGTGGAATCAGAGCTAGGAAAGGCAGATAAAGCCATGGGACTGGAGTGCCCAATGTCCACAGTCTGCTATTCCCCTTCTGGTCTTAGGGATATCTCTGCCATTGTTCTCAACCAGGTTTTGCCCTCGGCTCGTCTTCTGTGTTGCATCTGTGACCACCACCCTCTTCCACACATGGTTTCCTTCCTTATATAGCAGTCATCCCATCGGGTTACGGTCAAAGCCTACAGATCTAGAAACTCGTCTGATAAACTTCCCTTTTGATCCTTTAGTGAATTTACATGGGAAACCTCATTTCCTTCAGGAACATGTTCTTAGGAGACCTTTATCATAATGGAAACTGACCTTAGGGTCTTCTCCCTCCTACCTCCTTGTCCTCTGTTTTCTGTGAGTTGTTGTTTCTGTTGTTGTTGTTCAATTCCAAATGGATCCATTGCCAGGGAGTGGGGTTGTTGGAGAGCAGCCCCTTGAGAGCTAACCAATTTTCACCCAACCAGCAGCCAGACAGCCACTCAAGTTCCTGACTGGTATGAACTCTGAGTGTTGGACCTGGAAACAGACCATGGAAAGAAGCAAAATGCCTTTCTAACTCCTTTCAGCAAAAACAAAAAACAAAAACAAAGAAACGGGCTGTCGTTTCACCAGGAGAAGAATGGAAGCCATGGTTTGAGGGGGTTTACTCATTTTTTCAGCACCGCATTGGAGCGACAATTCCTATCAGATTTAGACACCTGAGTGTCTGCTGAATGTGGGTTTGAGAGCTACGAGACTTCTTTTTGCCCTTCAATTTTTGTTGTAAGATTAAAAAAAAAGTTGTGTCAGAGGCTGCTAACCCAATTTGATCCCCCAAACCACACGTCCTATACAGAATTCCTAAATTCACATATACACGGTCCAAACTTGACATTTTATCAGCGCCGCAGACCAACACAAGACTTTATGTTGTCCTGGCTTCTCTTACCCTCTGCTCCTGATTTTGGTGGTGATGTGTCAGCATCAGTGTGTCCCCCCCAGGCCCCAAGGCGGGATGGTAATGAACTGAGTGTGTTGCCTGTTTAATTTCAGAAGTGGGTCAAGTTTAAGAGAGACTTTGATAATTTCAAGACTCAGTGTATACCCTGGGAAATGAAGATCAAGGACATTGAAAGTGAGTATTCTGGTGTCAGCGTTTGTAGCTGGTGTTGCTAGAGTTTTCCAAGGGCTTGGGTTGCGTTCGTGACCAACTGATCAGATTCTTTCATAGGTTCTGTTGTACTGGAAAACAGAATGGGCTTGGAACTAGTCAGACCAATATTTTTTTTTTTTTAATTTTTTTTTCAACGTTTTTATTTATTTTTGGGACAGAGAGAGACAGAGCATGAATGGGGGAGGGGCAGAGAGAGAGGGAGACACAGAATCGGAAACAGGCTCCAGGCTCTGAGCCATCAGCCCAGAGCCTGACGCGGGGCTCGAACTCACGGACCGCGAGATCGTGACCTGGCTGAAGTCGGACGCTTAACCGACTGCGCCACCCAGGCGCCCTGAGTCAGACCAATATTTAAACTGTGTTTCTTCACTGTCTGACTGTGGGAGTTTAGGTAGAGTGGTTAATCCCACAGAGCCTCAGGTCATTTATCCGGAAAAAGAAAATGGAGACGAGAACATCACGTTCCACAGCTGATGTGAAAACTGAATCCGTCACCCACACAAAGCGCTTGGTAGTGCTAACGTCCTCCTTCGGCGATGCTTAAATCCTACCGTCTTTTCTCTCCCCAGGTCACTTTGGTTCCTCAGTGGCATCATATTTCATCTTTCTCCGATGGATGTATGGAGTTAACCTCGTCCTTTTTGGCTTAATTTTTGGCTTAGTTATAATCCCAGAGGTAAGACAAGGGCTTCCTATATCTTCAGATAGCGTTGAGGCTTATCATGACACCACCCTCTTTAATCAAATACTCTTCTGTTTTACAAAGAACCAGTCGTTCATTTTAAATTCTATACTCCCATCAATTGCCCAGATAGTTCGGGACAGAGGATGGAACCAAATACTTCTGTTCCTAATTAAGAAGTGGACCCCACACTTTTCTATCTTTTGTTTTACTTTAAGATCAGTAGAGAATTAATATCTTAGTAAGTTTTTGTTTGTTTTACTCTGAAAAAAAAAAAAAGAGATGGAATGCATTCTATCATAATTTATTACAAAACAAACAAACAAACAAAAATGAACCCTCACGAGGCGCCTGGGTGGCTCATTCAGTTGAGCATCTGACTCTTGATTTCAGCTCAGGTCATGATCTCACAGTTTGTGGGTTCAAGTCCCACGCCAGGCTCTGTGCTGACAGTGAGGAGTCTGCTTGAAATTCTCTCTTTCTCTCTCTCTCTCTCTCTCTCTCTCTGCCCCTCCCCCGCTCATGCTCCCTCTCTCTCAAAATAAAGAATGAAATAAACTTTAAAAACAAAACCCTCACATTTAAATAGCACTCCTCACTGTTCTCCCACTATGCCCTTATCACAGATGTAAGTACATCCTTACCTACTGATGAGTAATTGAGAGACAAAAAAGGAGTAAGCAAGTTATGTAAAGTCACACAGTAAGTTTGCAGTGAATGAGATCCCAGGTCTCCAGTGTGGGCCTGGAATCTTTCCCAAGGGAAATTTAACAAATTAGAAGATTTCTGTGAGGAATACCATCAAGCATTACAGGACCAATATATGACTGAATAAACAGGGTGACTTTTTCTTGCAAGGGAAACTTAATACTGTAAAAAAAAAGTCAATTCTTCCTAAATCAATATGTAAAGTTCATACAATTCTGATTTTTTTAGAATTAAGGATGCAAACACAGGCATATATATTAAAGTATTGATAACAGAACTAGATACATGCAAAGAACTAGCAATATTTCTAATGTCCAACAAAAGGTAATTTGTTAAGTAAGTTTATGGTAGATACATGTGGTTAGATATTTTGAAGTCATTTTATTTTGAGACATACTACCTGCCGTATAGAATTGGTCATAAAACGGGGCGCCTGGGTGGCTCAGTCGATAAGCGTCCGACTTCGGTTCAGGTCATGATCTCGCAGTTTGTGAGTTCGAGCCCCACGTCGGGCTCTGTGCTGACAACTCAGAGCCTGGAGCCTGCTTC